TTGGACTATTCTGCGAAATGTGTAGAGCCACGACCCCGACCGTCAGACGTTTGCCGGCCGTCGAAGAGAATGGACTTCATCGGCTACAAGCATTATAGACTCCTGAAATTCTGCTTCTTCGCGACGGGACTGACACCGTACAAACCAACGCTGTTAAGCGTACTGCATATTACGATCGTATGTTTGATACTTCTTCTCGGTCAAACGTTTTCCATAGTAAGTCCATTTCACACGAAATCTAATTATTTAACTAGTTGTCTCGTATATCAATGCATTACATTGTCAAAAAATATCATCTTTTATTTACGTTCATGTTATCAATCCTTACAGTATTTTTCCATGAAAAGCAATATTTGCCCCTCTCGATTTTTTTCATTGCAAATAAGCATTACACTTTTAATAGCAAGTGTAAATGTAACATATGGCTTGTTACTTGTGAAATCTGTAAACGTAAGTTACAAACTAATTCTAACTAGTCATTATAATATCGTGTCGTCTCATGTAACACATTTTCTGGATTTTTCAAGATAGAGGAATGGTTAAAGGATATAAAACGTGATTGGAATCACATACAAGACATAGAAGAATTTAAGATACTTAAGACACACATAGCGATGGCAAATCGTTACATAAATATTTATTTAAGTAAGAAGTAAAATAATTGTCGCATAAGGCGGCGAGAAAACGTATAAGGATAATATTTTACATTTAAGATGCATTATAGTTACAGTTTGTACATTTCATGCTGGTTTCATTATTATTATGACGCTGTCTCTTTCACGTCGCATTCTCGAGATTTTTTTATCTACGACTAAAATTCTGTGTTATATACCGATTGACCCGATGATACCAATGATGCTTGTAGAAAAATCTCGAAATTATTATTTGAGTATCATTTTCAAGAACGTTATAAACATTCTGATTGCAGCAATTTTGTATTGTCGTGACGTTCTCTTTTTATTGACAACTTTGCATATACATGGGCTGTACAAAATTGCTATGTAAGTATAGCTGTGATTCTATACAAATAGCGACTGGAAGTAGAACTTATGAAGTTTCTCACGCTTATTAGTTACAACATGAAAAATGCCGTGGATAGAAATTCGATAGAAATGGCCATTTCCATGAAGGATATCGTTATACGCAACAAAATAATAAATTAAATGAAAATTTTTAACTTAATAATAAAGTTAGTATCTTCTCGGTTAAATGCTAAATATTTATGCAAAGCTTATTTATGCGAATATATGCTATCTTTGAACTTACATATTTTAAATGTTAAACTTTTCTATATTAACGTGAAATTAAACTCATTACATTGTGCAGACATGCTTGTATTAATTCATTCTTTCTTAAAGGTGGATTAAGTATCTGAAACACAATTTTTCATTCTTCTGCCTACTAATCTTCGTAATAACGACAGTATGTTTCACACTGATTATGTTCAATGTAAGTAACATCACAGTGTGTGTCTTGTACTAAAAACGTCGCATACATGATTTGACAGAAATATGACGATTTTTTAATTTGGAAAATATCAGCTGTTTCACCTGACAATACAAAAATTAAGGCACGTAGCCGCCTATTGTGATTACTGATTATGTAATTATCTGAACAAGATATAAGATTCGAGATTTAAAACAACGATTAATAACCTTTCTAAAAAAAAAGAAACTGAGATACAAAACTTTTACTATACAAAAAATAAAATTTTAAAACTTTATTTCATTTCAGAAATCGTCGAATTCCCAATTCCAGTCCTGTATTTTATTATGCTTATGATATATTCTCTATAGATTTCCAGAACGATATTGGATGGACTTCGATTTCCTGTGATTGTAAACTTTGTTATATTTGTAAATCTTGCAATGGTCTGTACTAAAATATACCATCTAATACAATGCATATTCGACGAAAGTCAGAAATTCTTTTATATTCCGTAAGTACGCAAAATAATTTTTAATTATTGGCATTTGATAATTTTCTAATCATTAATTATTTGTTAATTGTTTTTTTAATATTCTTTATATGAAATTCATTTTATATGTGATTGCTCATTGCCTTTTTATTGCTGTTCACATATAAATCTTGAAAAAGTATATTTATCATTACATATTGTACAATTATATTATATTATATATTGTATAATGTATATATCATTACATATTGTATAACTATATTAACATGTAATACAGCGTGTTTTATATATATATATATATATATATCAATTGTACATATGTAATTTAAATATTATATAATATATAATTATACTATTATAATTATGTATTTACTAATATTTATACTTATGATTATATAATTTACCAATATTATAAATATATAATTATGCTATTATTGTACATCATTTGTATATTATAAATAATAGGTTTATAAGGTGTCAAAGGTATAGATAAATTTTTTAAATTATTAAATTTTTTAAATCATCATATTCTACTGTTACTAAGGAAATAATTGAATGACTTCAATGTGATGAAAATATTCAAAACTCTTCTTTTTCAAGAAATAAACATTTTTTGTTTATATTAACCACAACAGAACAAGTGTTAGATGCAGAGTTTCAATTATAATTTGTACTTTTATTTATGAGAATAGTTCAAAAGTTTGATTTACGACAGTAGCACTATCGATGAAATATTCAAAGATCGGGTTATTGCCTTTTGTGAAAAAATTTGGAATATACTAATATATATTACACGTGTACAAAATTAATATACACTGAATTTGAAATATAGTAATTTTTGAACATAGCAATTCTTTTTTAAGAGAAGTACGTATATGTTATAGAAGAAATAGATTTCAACGATTCGTTTGAATAAATTTTGAATATTCGTACAATACTTCATCATAATCAAAGTATGAATCTCGGAACGGAAGGGTTTTCACATTTATAACTGTATTTATGTGCCTTATTATTAGTGGCTGTCGAATATCAAAGTTTGATTAGGAAAGATGTAAAGTGTGTAAAAGTAGAATTAGAGTACTAAACATCGCAAATATAGTTCCATTTGAAAAAACCAGTGGTATGAGGGAACCCAAAAATATTAAGTTTTTTTCAGATTCCGCTAAATTCTGGAATAATTTTGGAAAATGTTCGGATTTTCCAAAAGAGTCGGGATTTCCAATAGAATCGGGTTAGTCGACACCTAAAATTTGAAAACAAAATATTACATTTGTATATCACATATTTGGTTACTACTTTTACTTCATACTGTATTTTTTGTAACTTTAGAATTTTCAGGAAACCCGACTCTATCGGAAATTTCGAAAGACGTGATCATCGAATTTTCACTTTTGCCTACACTTTCGAGTTCTCACACACCTCTAAAAAAACCAAATTGGCGGCACATCTGTCCGAGAACAATATCCTAACCATCGTAAAGTATTTCCCTCGAATAATAAGTTCCGTCGGCAAAATTTTTTATAATAACGAATTACTTTGAAAGATAAACAAACTCACAAACTTATACAAACAAGCAAATGCTTAAACAAAGAAGCATCGTTTACAAATAGAAAAATTCTGAGATATTCTGTAGAATGTAAAATTGTATCAAATATCACTTGTTCTGTTCCATTTTTGTTTTGTCTCTAATCTCAATATGGCTTTTTCAGATATTC